TTGGGGTGGGAATACTTCAAGCATGGGGATGGCTAGCCCCATAGAGGCCTTCTGCCTTCACCCTCAGATTTTTCATCTTGGACTCTCCTTCCCCTTTTTAGTAATGTTTTTAACTGATGTTTTATGTATTTATATATATTTATGTTTTTAATGTTTGTTGTGAGTCGCCCAGAGTTCCCCCATTGGGGGGAGATGGGCGGTTGAAAAATTTAATAAACAAACAAACAAACAAACAAATAAATGCATATACTTGCTGTGGGAACAGGGTCATAGAGTGACAATGATCTGTACATAATTTTAGAGGTTTATTTTTTTTCCAGCAAAAAAAAAATAAAAAGCTGTATTTACATTCTCTTCTTTTAAGTGTTCCACATCTAACGCTTCTTTTTCTTTGTTTCTGTTTTTCTGTTGATTTACTGTAATCACATAGCTGTAGATATTAACAAAGCCATATTGTTTTATTTTATCTTTATGCTGATGTATGCTATTAATATTCATGCATGCCATTATATATTGCATGTTTCCAGTCATATGATCAAGTGTGGTACATGCATTTTCTTTAAGTTTTCTTCTTTAATTAGAGCCAATTCTGTTACCTGGAATCCTCACAAATTGATGGGTGTTCCACTACAGTGCTCAGCTTTTTTAGTCCGTGAAAAGGTAATTCCCTTTGTTTTACTACCCAGATAGGCCTACCTGTTCACTATAAAACATAGGACTTCTACCTGATTAATGTTTAAATATTATTTCCTAAGGAAAGATTTGTAAGGCTCCCATCCTATCACATACTTCCTTGGAAACAACTTTTGCTGAAATTAATTGGCCTACTTTCGAGCAATCATATGGGGCAATAAGGATATTTAGGGGGGCTGGGAAGGGGTTGCTGAGGCACAAGCATGCTACAGAGTACATTGACTTTGCTTATGGGGAGCCAGCAGGGAAGGTCACAAATGGCGATCATGTGACCGCAGGAAGCTGCAATCATCATAAGTGTGAGCCAGTTGCCAAGCACCCAGATTGCGATCATGTGATCGTGGTGGTGGTGTGATGGCAGGAACCTCCAGAACTAGTCATAAGTGCCACTCTTTCAGTGCCATCGCAACTTCAAACAGTCGCTGAACAAGTGGTCGTTAACTGAGGACTACCTGTAATACTTGGATGATATATGCATTTAGCTTGGTGGGCATCACCAGCACTGTCCTGATTCATTTCTATAAAAATATTATATTTAGCTTTATCATATTATTAATTCATGCAAACTTTACAAAATGATATATATAAAGTCATTAGTATATTACTATCATTAGTTGCTTATACAAGTTGGGTTCCAATTCTTATCTGATATTTATTCCACTCCCAGTAGCCGCATCTGGCTGCCAACTGCAAAATGGTATCAGATTACAATAATGCATTAAAGAAAATTGTTGTTAGAAGCTTTTCTCATTCTCTATCTCCTCTAGGGTCTTCTCCAAGCCTGCAATCAGCTCTGTGCTGACTACCTCTTCCAACCAGACAAGGCTTATGATACAGTTTATGACACTGGAGATAAGACAATCCAGTGTGGCCGACACGTTGATGTCTTCAAACTATGGCTAATGTGGAGAGCTAAAGTAGGAGCATATTCATTACTGGATGAAGCACCTGACTAAAGATGAACAAGTCGGTTGCTTTTGTTTTCTTAGTTTTTAATATTACCTTTAGTTTGTCCTATGACAAACTGCATCGCTTGAGAATATTTTTTAAAAAATGAAAATTAATACATATATTCTGTTATTTTATTAATTCTAATATGTGTGTGTGTGTTTTGCATTCTATACTCGTTAGCAAGTGTTTCCCCCCAATGCGCGTGTGTGTGTCTATCTATCTACCCAACAACACAGCATATGTAATTTTCAATTATACATATTTTTACTCACTTTTTTCTAAACATGCAAATTTTTGTGCATTTCTTCATAGAAATATGCACATATTTTTTGAACCACAACATTTAGAAAAGGGCACATTCTGAAGGTGTGAAATTACCATTTTTTCATTAAAATGTGAACCAATTATCTCCTCCATTGGCATTTGAGATATAATGCAATAGTAATACCCTTGATGCTACAAACAGAACTGATCTCCATCAAGGTTGAGATGGAGAGGAGGCAGAGAAAGTGAGAAAGAAAATGAGAGAGTTATAGGTAACAAATAATGCCAAATGCAGTTGCAAAGCAATTTTCTGGAACCCTTCCCTATCTGCTGAAGAACCTTTACACTTCTGCTACAGAACCAGATAACATCTGAATGAATTCCAAAGGACAAAGTTAATTTATATAGTCTACTGGCCAGTACTGTTGGACTTTAGCACTTCTCTGTGCATCATACAACTGTAACCTAGAGTGCACCAAACATAGTAAAGAAATATACAGCTTTTTCAAAAGTATTTATCTACCATTACTGGACTTCTTATTAAGGAAGCCCTAATAAGAATCTGCAGAGGACTCCTTGTATTCTTCAAAAAGCAACTTCTGAAATTTCTTTATAGCCAGTTATGTTACATTTCAGTGGGAGGACTGCATTGTAATTGTTCGCTGATAAATCACTGATATTTTTCCTTGGAAATTGGTGATGTACAACAGGATGACCCATTTATGTTCTGCCTTTCATATCTTACAGGGCACAGGAGGATTTGAAATTCTTATCAACAAATTTTTGGAACTTGCAGAATATCTTTATAAGGAACTCAAGACAAGAAACAACTATGAGCTGGTTTTTGATGCTGAGGTTAGTTTACAATGGCAAGAAGTTGCTGGATTATTTCTTTATTTTGTTAATCTATAGTTTCCAGATTCCACAAAACTCTTGTTCTCAAAGGGTGAAATGGGTATACTAAGTTAATTACCATGACAGTTACAAAGATCTTCCAATCTTCCTTGGCTGGATTATGAGGAATAACTGTGTTTTTTCCCTTCCACTGCCCTCCAATCATTTTTTTTTTCCAGTCATTTATTTCTTAGCCCAAACTTTATATATGAACCTCCATGCAAGTGAATTGTTTGTATTATATATTCTGGGTGTGATTCAGGATGTCCAGTGGCTAGGAAGAATGAATTCATCATGCAACATAGCTTTGTGTTTTTCCCTAGGTTCAGTAGCTGCCAAATCAATTAATCAGATTAGATGAAAATATGTTTAAGAATGGGTATGAACCTCACATTTCTGTTTCAGCTGAGTAGAATTTCAATGCTCAATAAAAGTTTTTCAGAACTTCTTTATGCAATTCACGTGGGTGCATATTTATCTGATGTTAAGCCCCAGTGATTTCCCTGAGCTATTAATGTGTAAAATGTAAAATGTTTCATAAATATGTGAGCATCAGAAAAGGCAATTCTTAGCTTTCATAATGCCCCAGGGGAGAAAAATAGAGTAACAAATGTTCAATATGAATCAAGAGACATAAAAATAATAAAAATATTTCACAAATAGCTAGCAGTTGTAAAATTATCACTAAACTAAAAAAGGGCATGAAATGTTAAAAGTAAATATAAGTAAGTTAGGTCTGGATAGCTTCTACAGCCTAATATTTTTGATATTTATGGAATCTTCTCCACACACATCACATTTCTTCTGAGCTAATGGAAAACAGCCAACTTTAAAACCTGCAATGTCATTGAGATGCACCAAAGACTTGTACTGTATATAATTAATCAAACTTGAAAAGACTGTGTAGCCACACTTTTATCTCAGTAGATATTAATAAACATCTCACAGAAATATCCTACACCTGAACCGATGATGTCTCTCAACATAATAAGTTAAAATTTATGTTCATGCAGAAACAAATTCAGTTAATATTTAAGGTTGTAATGAACTTAATTAAAACATGTTTTAGCTTAATTCATTATGAATTTTGACTCTGTAGTGGAGAAGTGGCCCCTGAGCTATTTCATGATGTTTATTGGGTTGGCAGTGGAAAGTATTTTCCCCAATGTTAAACAAGCATGAATAGTTGTGTTCAGTGGAGAGGCAATTCTGAAGGGAGGAAATATCGTAGCTGGAGCTTTCAATTAGTTTTTTCATGCTGGGTATTAAGTGGAAAAGAGAAGAACTCCTGCAATGCCACCAACTACAACTAAATGCCTGCTGAGCAATTCATGCGCTTAGCATAGGTACATATGTATAATGAGGATTTTACATGAACGTTGGATTTATTTTAACTTATTTTTATTGATAAGACTTTATATTCCAGTTTGTCCCTGCCTATTTGATAAAGTGGAGCATTTGTTGCAGAAATAAAAATATTTTATATTTGATGATATTTTTTTTCTCCTTTTAATCTTAAAGCCTGAACTCAGCAATGTATGTTTCTGGTATATCCCACCAAGTCTTCGACATATTCCAAAGGGGCCAGACAGAGAGAAAAGACTTCATCAGGTAAAAGCTCATAAGCACATTTTCTGTTAGAACAGTGTTTTTCAAACTTGGCAACTTTAACATGTGTGGACTTCAACCTTCAGAATTCCCCAGCCACCCATCCTGGCTACAGAATTCTGGGAGCTGAATCTTAAAAAGTTGCCAAGTTTGAAAAACATTGTGTTAGAGCAAGTGTGCATGGAGCTAAAATGTTCTATCTATCCTTCCACATTTCACATAAATTAAATATATTAGATGACAACTCCTACTATCCTCATTAATAATCCTTTGAGTATGGTGGCTGGGGATGGAGGTACATACAATCCAACATTTGGGGAAGGGTAGTCTAATCTATGCATAGCAGGTAAAATCTGCAGTGTCAGAAGGTCTGGTTCTGCTTTCAGCTTCTAATAGACATACCTGTCTGTTTCTGGTCTGCATGGTTTCATCCATAATTTCATTCTGGTCTGTTTCTACTTTAATTTTTTAAAATTAAATATACATCTTTAAAGCATTTTTTATTCTTTGTTTTATTGAACTATTATAAGGCATAAGTAGTATGTTATATTATTTGGGTACAGTGGTATTTCTGTAGTATTGACTAGAGATTATTAATACTGTAATGTTTAGATAACTTAAACCTTTAAAGATAAAGAAGTTTATATCAATACGAAGTATGATTTCTAAAATGTCAGTGGTGGTAAGCATAAGTTTCATCACATTTTAATAGGATTTAAATATATATTTTGATCATATTTCTGCCATCAATCTGAAATAATGGCTGCTACTACTTATTCCTTAGCCTCTTCAATGCATTATCCAGAAATTAAGTATTGTTTTCTGCTCTGTCCAGGTTGCTCCAAAAATAAAAGCAAGGATGATTGAAGAAGGCACTACAATGGTTAGCTACCAACCTTTGGGGGACAATGTGAATTTTTTCCGAATGGTCTTCTCTAACCCAGCAACCAAGAAATCAGATGTTGATTTCATCTTGGAAGAGATTGAAAGGCTTGGGAAGGATTTGTGATAATCTGAAACATGTCTCATTGGTATAGTGAGGATTCTCTACAGAAATGTTTCTAATCCTTGACAACTTTAAAATGTGTAGGCTTCAACTCCCAGAATTCCCCACTGAACATGCTGGCTGGGGAATTCTGGGAGTTGAAGCCCACATGTCTTAAAGTTGTCAAGGTTGACAAAGCTCTACAGGGTTCTGTTAATTTTTTTTTCCTAAAAATGCTGTGCTGTAATTTTCTTTCCTTTCTTTCCACTATTTGTTGGGGTGAAATTAAAAGTTTTGTGAAACATACTGGGAAGGAAAGTAGAGTTGATGAAATTTCCCCTTTCCCAAGAAACTCGCACTTGTATAAAGTGGGCAAAGGATCTTACATGCCTTTTTCCTCACAGCAGTGTGGGCTATTTTTGCATAGACTGCAGCCTGCCAACACTTCCTGGAATGTTCATGTGATCATGCTGTGTTGTATGATCACTTAAGCAATCCCCAAAGGAAAGCATGGATGAGAAGCACCATGCACAATATAAGCACTGGGCATCTTAAAAACCCCTCATAGCAACATCTCATGGCACCATCCTCAGTGTTGTGATGGAGCCAAGATGGCAGTCCTTCACACTACATTCCACTAATTATATAAATGTTTATCAGAGATAATCACATTATCGATTGTGCAAGGTATTCTGTGTTGTTACTGCTCCCATTAAGATTCCAAAAGCCACACATTGTTTGCCTGAAATTCCTGTCATCTTCCTCACCCTAAGGGATACAATATGGTTGGTATGGAGCTTTAAAAGCAAATAAGTAAATAAATGTACCTCAGCTAGATAGTATAAAGGGCAGACTAATATTATTTCTTTTAGAGGACATATATTCCTCTAAATTAGCTGTGATGACATTGGCATTTTGGGAATTACAAAATACTAGAAAATATCAGCTCAGAATAATGGGAGTCACTTTCCTAATAAATTGGGAGGGCAGATTACTGGGAGAGGTGGATATCCCATAAGCCATGCTTGTAAACAGCCATTTGCTTTACATCCTGCAGGTATCCAGCAGGAAGACTTTATAAACATTGCTTTATTTATTATTCTTTGGGGCTTGGTGTTTTTGAGCTTTCAGGAACTACAGTTCACTTCATCAGACGCATAAATGCATTATAGCCTAGGAAAGCTTATCCCTTTTAATAACTAACCTCTACAATGGGTTAGTAATAGGTGTGTCTTTGATTTTTCTATATGGGAATGATTCTTCATCAGCAAGTGTTTAAAGCAGAGTTTCTCAGTCTTGGCACTTGCTGGCTGGGGAATTCTGGGAGTTGAAGTCCACACATCTTAAAGTTGCCAAGGTTGAGAAACATTGGTTTCAAATAATTACTCAACCCACATGGTGAATACACTACAATAGCCTTCTTCAGGCATTTGCTTGAAGAAAGATTTCAAGGTGGATATATGGCGAGGTGTGTGTCTACTGGCCCTGCCCCATATAGTTTCCAACATCTGTATGTTCAGCTGGGATGTAGATCTGAAGGAGAGCTTTATTAAGATCCTAGTTTGACTTGTTCCACTTCAGACCTCCCAACTGAATTTGAGACATGGGGAGGGGGGCATGAAAGAGCCTATCTTCTACCTACTGACATGTACTCATGAATTCAGTCAAATTTCTGGAAGGATATGCATTATTTTCTTTCAATTAAGATTTGTATGAATTTTGTATTTTATATTTTAAATAATCCTTGTGTATTTATTAGAATTTTTGTTGTTGTGTTGATATTGGATGTTGTGTTGTAATGATATTGACAAAGACCTTTGTAAACAGAAAATTTAAAAATGAAAGACACAAATAATAGATTCTTAGTTCAAGTTATATGAATAATCAAATATACGGCATTGCAATAACTTTACAACTGTATAAATAGATACTCAGTTAAGGAATATCTACTATCCAATAGCATAAAGCCAATGTAGTTATTCTGTAGACAAATGGAAGCTAGAGAAGTTGGTTAGACTATAACTAGAAGAGGCCCTGGATAATACCGATTATATGGATCCCTTTCAGTAAGGGTTCAGGCCTGGGCATGGGGCAGAAACACATTGGTCACTCTTGTGATGACTACAGCAGGGCCTAGGCAAGGATGGTACACTCCTCTTAGTCTTGTTAAAGTTCTCAGTAGTGTTTGATACCATCAACCCTTTTGGGCTTCTTATGAGGGTTAGGGATTGAAGGTGATTCTGCTTCTTTCTGTGTGGATAGTTCCAATCAGTGCTGATAGTTGAGCTCTTGTACAATTCAATACAGGATGCCCCAAGACTCAACATTTTCCCTTATTCTTTTTAACATCTACATCAGGCCAGTGGGTAATGACTTCTGTCAGGGTGGGGTCAGGTATCATCACTATGATGATGATATCCAGCTATACTTTTCCATCCAGGCCAAGTGGGAGATGCAGTGTACCTGGCAGTGAAGATGGACTGGATGAGTTGGAACAGACTAAATTTGTAGCAAGGTTGATTTACTGTTGATACAAAAGCTTTCTGATTTCATATATGTTCCATTTATTGCTCTTGATGGAGTTGCATGTCACTTGAAGGAACAAATACACAATCAGTACACACTCTCACACCTCTTGCTAGAATAGTGAGTGGACACTGTGCCTAGCATAGCCTTTGGCCAGTTCTGGCTGTTTCACCAGTTTCCTGGGCCTAGAAAATGTTGAAGACAACGACTCACAACCTTGTCTTTGTAAATTAGACTACTGCAATTCACACTACAAAGGCCTGCTCATGAAGATGACCTGGAAGCTGCTGCTTGCACAGAATGTGGCTACCCATCTGCTGACCAGAGCTAACTGGTTTAGTAGAATAACAGCTGTTTTGCAGGACCTGGGTTGGTTGCCGGAAGGCTTCTGATCCCACTTCAAAATGCTGGTAGTTACTTATAAACCCTTATACGGCTTAGGAATACCTTTGGAAATGCAATCTCCAGGTAGAATCTGCCTACCCTACGTAGCCTAATTGGAAGGGGTACCTGCTTCCTGCAAGATAAGATAGGCAAGGGCCAAAAAATGGCTTTCTTGGTAGCAGCCCCATCACTTTGGAGTAGCTTATTCCAGAAACTCAGGATACTGTCCCCGTTCTGTCATTAGAAAGATGATAAGAGTTTTCTTTCACAGGGTGTTTGGAATGGAAGACCTTCATCCAGTGACAGCACAGGTGATGATTGCATGGATATTAATGGATTCATTTTATATTGAATTCTGATTTCAGTGTTTTTAGAATTGTAAGCCAATAGAGTCTAGTCAGTAGGCAGCGTTTAATTATTGCAAATAAATAAAATCAATAAATAAATGAAATCAATAAATAGAGATTGTTCAGTTTGAAATCTCTGCTATCTGTGAAAAGCCATATTCTCTTTTAGCTACTCTTTCCTACCCATTTTAGATTTTAAAAAACACTTTATTTTAAATTTATTTTTAAAAAATGGTATACCACTCTTCAAAATCAGATTTTCCTGAGGCACATTTCAACATTTACAATAAATGCCTCACAGATGTATAAGAATTGCCATTTCTGGAACATTTGCTTCAGATTTTCACTATCAGGAAAGATGGAAGTGAAAGAGCCAGAAGTTGGTGCATGTGTCCCAATGTGCCTGTATGGTTTGGCCATCTGAATGCCTCAATAAGGATTATGTCTCATACTGGATATTTGCCAAACACAGAAGTGGAATTTTATAGAATTTAGGACCAACAAACCTAATTCTCAGTGAAGCACTTCAGTTAGAACTACCAGATTTTTCTTCTGAAAATTAAGATATCCCTGAGTCTGGGAATCATGCCAGTGCAGAATTTTATAGTTTAATATGGAGCCTGGGGAAATGCAGCAATTCAAGATGGGAATTTGCTCTACAGTCATGATCCAAATGTATGTTCCCTATAACTGCTATTATTTCATGTTTTAAAATTCCAGCAGTTCCTATTTACAGTTCCCCCATATTACCTCTATTATGGCCTTCTCTATGGAATACACCAAGGATGAAGAATGTCTGGTCCTCAAGACGTAGTCTGAATTACAACTCTCACTTCCATTTACCTGTAATCAAGCAAGTGGAGTTTGTTGGAAATTGTAGCCCAGAATGTCTGAAGGACAACAGGTTCCTCATTCCTAGAATACACAATGTGATCTGGAAGTATACGCAGTCTGACTTCATTCATGTTCAGTCCACTGTGGTGATTTCAGCAGACAGGGCCAATGGAGGCTTAACAGGGTGAACAGAGAGTAGGGAATAGTGTGTTGTGGAAACACCCAAAAGGGGTCAATAGAGCTAATTAATTTCAAGGGATTGGATTTAGCTCCAGTCTTGCCCAAGGTTAAACTAATTCAACCCAGTCAGCTGATCTGTATAGAAACACCAACAATCTAATCAGTTACTTACCTTGTTCTCAAGGAAAATGAGCTGAAGAAGAAGAAGGACTGAAAAAGCACATTTCTCTATTGCAGTATTCACTGCCAGAGCCAGACAGTACAGGGCATATCCTCTCAGCAGTACCTGCGGTGGCCAAGTGATGCCTCCTGTTTCCTGCCCAATTAGTAGGGAAGAGGGCAGTGATAGTATTAAGCAAGAGCTCATGGGTTATCAGACACTTCCTGGAAAAATGAGCAGGAGTTCTATATTTCTAAAATGGCAACTTTTGACACAGTTTGTATAATTGTGTCCTGGCAGAAGCTCTGGTAAGGAGATCTGGTTCAGATAGTTTAAGAGCATTGAAGGAGTTCTAAATTCCCTTTCATTGTACTGGACTGGTGATTGCTTTTACTGAATGTTTTTAGTATTTATTTTTCTTTTTTCTTTTCATAAGATCATGTGTATTTATTTTAGATAATGATAAATAGTGGTGATATCAATGTAAATATTACAGCTTAGAATTTTGTAGTGATTTATTATCATTTCTCAAGATGATATAAAGATTTTAGTTTTATATATTCAATAACTTAATCAATGTTGGTTATCACCTA